GCAAGAATTTCTTCCTAATATCCAACCTAAATCTACCCTCTTCCAGCTTAAAGCCAGTAAGCCATTGAGGAGTCCGAAAGGTTTCATCTGTCAGGTGCAGTGTTGTGACCAACATGCTCCAATGTTGTGAGTGCCCTAGACCAGGCTGACAGCAGGCACAAATAACCAGTAAATGAGTGTTCCTGCATTGTTTGCTGTGATGAGTTAGTTTGCATCTAGGTAGTCCACAATGTATCAGAGCTGAAAACAAATTCAAAAGGTCAATTTTCTTTTTGTTTGGGTGGTATTTTAACAGACTCCAGGTACGTAGAGGTGGTTCTTGCCTGGGGCAGCCAGAGATCTGTGACATTTTAATGTGATACTCAGCTATCATAACTTTCATCTATAGCTTGAAATTGCCTGGTATTAGAAATTTCATTTAAAATGAAGATGGTATTAGCTCTGTAGTGTTAGTTTTTTAACGCACTTAACAGTTGTACAAGCGTGGAAATATGTGTGCTTGCAGCAGAGTTTAAAAGTCACTACACAGAATATTGCCTTTCGTAGGTGCCATATTGTGCCAAAATAGGTGCTCCTTTCTCCTAAGAAGAGCAGGCAGCCTGTCCCTAAGGAGGAAAGGGATTTCTGCAGCCCTGGCTTCTATCAGCAGTCAGTGCTTGCAGGGCTGCTCACCACACCTAGAGCTCCTGGTGCCAAGGTGTCAGGCATCTCCAGGTGATTTCTTCTCACTTCTGCTCTCTGCATTTATTTCTGCCGAAGCTCAGATCCATAACTCTCCTGAGAAGAGCCTTTAGCAGAGGGTGTTTTTCCCCTAAAGTGCATTTATATTTTTGATACAATATTTTTGGCCTTAAACTGCGTTTTAAACTCCTTTGAGATTCAGAGCACTTTGCATATAGTTCATGGGAATCTCTGTGATGCACTTTATCAGCTGGCAATCGAAATTGTGAACAGCTTTTCTGGTGGATCATAGTTCTTTGATCCTGTGATTTGGGACTTTAACCATAGGATAAACTATCTTTTCACTGGTAGAAAAACTCAGTGGCAGAAAACCAAACTGTGATAAAGGGAGCTGACGTGTAGGTGTTTGAAGCGTGGTGTTGGAGCCAAGGAAGTATAGATACATTCCAAGGCTTACTAAGGCAAAAAGGCCATATTACTGCTTTGTCCTGGTGTGATGTGCAGTTCTTTGCTGAGTGATCTGTACCAGAACAGTTTGTGTTCAAAGAGTGTCGTTTTACATGTCAGCAAACCTGGAGCTGAGAAGTGACACTGAAGCAGGACCATGCCTTGTGATTCCACAGGTTGTGGCAATGGGACTTTGTGCCCTTTCTAGTAAAAGCAGAGCCTTGGCTCTGCTCACCAGGCAGCTCCAGCACACCAGGACAGTGTTCAAAACCTCTTAATCTGTTGCATACATTGGTTTTTTAGGTTTTTTTTAAACAGATGTGAGTACATAAATTTCCCAGGTTTTCCTGCTTTATATTCTAGCAGCACACAAAATGGGGAGCTGAAAATCAAGCAAAATGCACTTTGCTGTGAAAGCCCCACTTGACTCTGGAGCACGGGTGCCTCAGTGTGTTTGGGTGGAACATACTTAATACCAGGCTGTAGGCACAGAAGGCAAGGTTCAGGCTCGGAATAACATACCAGGAATGTGGCATTGCCCTGACATCCCAGTTTAGACAGGGATAACATCATGCCAGAATTTCTCATGCTCGGCATCTCTGTGCTTTATGAAGTACCAGAACTGTGTGTTTTCCCCTAGATACAGAGGTTATAGAACAGTCAGACTCCGTTTCCATGGGAAACTCTTTGCCCAGTGCATTCCCCGGAGGATCCCTGTCAGAACGTGGACACCTGTTAGCAAGGACTGGACCGTCAGAACCTGGGTGTCTGGGAGAGCAGTGGACCTTTCCCTTGGTGGCAGTTTCACCCTACCAGTGCCAGTGTGGGAATCCACCAGTGCACAGTCCCACAGGAATCCGTCTCTGCTGTGCTCAGGGTAACCGTGCCTGTGCTTCCCTCTAGGAGGACTTTCGGAATAAAGTTGAAGATTACATTAAGCGCTACGCGAGATGATGAAGGGAGAAGGATGGCAGGACCATGGCTTCCACACTAGAGTTGTCCTTAACTTCAACAACAACAATAAACCAGCCCGGATTGTACCAGTCCTGTGTCCATGTTGTACTGAAGAAGAAAAACTAACTTCATAACCTGTCCATGTTCAAAGGAGAGTTCAGCATAAATACAGCAAGAAATTGTGTCTGTTGGTTGAAAAAGTTGTTTGCTTCCTTTTAAAAAATGTTTACTCTTCTGAACTGTACTGTATATCCTGTTGATGAGATATGCTTGAGAAGTTAAAGAAATCACTATAGAAATTGTAATTACACTTTTTTTTTAACTCTTGCCTAGTCTGGAGGGGGGAAGGAAAACAAACCCAAACAGAAAAGGTGGCGTGGTTTTGGAACACTCGGAGTTGGCAATAAATGGTCTCCTGTGAACCAAATCACAAAACTGTTGCCTTCGATGAGCAGAAACAATATGAGCTTTTCCCAAGAGTCACTCAGCTGAGGCTTAGAGCTTGCCAGAATGCAAGTGCAAAATGAGATTCTACTTCTGGTATTGAAATTCTCAATGCTATTTAATGTAAGTATGTTTTTGTCACAGTTTGGAATTTTTACATTGTTAATTTCAGCCCCTGTTTGGGCTACAGTATTTTTTTTTGTTTCTATTCATTGTGTGAAGTAGTTAAAAGAAATACAGGCTAATGGGTAACTTAAGTAAATGTTTAGTACTAGTAAAAATTACATATATATTATATATTTCTGTAAAAATTTAATGGAAGGGAGATTTTTTTTTTTAAGAAATCTACCTTTGGCTTTCTGATCTGGATGTGGTGAGGGAGCATGAGATGCTGTTTGATCTGACAACAGTAAATTCAGGCACCATTACCTGCAGAACACCTAACTGTGTTCTCCAGATTCCTGCACTGGAAGGGAATGATGGAGCTGGGACCCATAATACACCACACCCCATCCGTGCACGCTTGGCTTTCTCAGTGACTGGAAAGGATGTTGATGCTGTAATTGCCTTTTCTGTGAGGAGCTGTGTGGCAGACACAGTGTGTGTGAACAGGGAGCCTGCAGGAGAGAGTAGCACGTACCTCAGGAATCACTTCAGTCCGTGTGCCAGAGCTCCCTGGGCATCGTCCGGGATTGGGATCACGCAGAGGGAGGTGATGGAACCGATTCGAGCTTTTATAAACCATAGAAATAAATGTTTGTGTGGTTTTTTACAGAGCAGGTGTGTGTGTGACACTTGGGCATCAACTGTTGGGTTTTCCCCCCCTTCATTCTTTCCTGCTGTTCCTCTGCAGACGCTGAAAGAAATCAAAATAATCTCCATCGTGAGAGATGGTGGCAGAGCTGGGGTGCAAACTGTAAGCACAGTACAACTTTGCATGTTTTAAGTTTTCCCTGTGCCTTTTCCCTTACAGCTTCACAGGCTCCTGTAGCTGTTACTGGAGGTCTGGGAAAGTAGGGAGATGAAATGCAGGGATTGGGATGCAGGAGGAGAGCTTTGCCTGAGGATAATAGTGCCACTGTGTCTGTTCACAGTGAAACATGGATCAGCCTATTATTTTAAGCAGGCAACTGCAGTGAGAGATCTTTGCTGCCCAAACAGAAATGTCAGGGAAGGTAAGAAGTGAAACACTCACAAAAATAGAAAGGTTGGGAAATACATCCAGAAATACATCAGAAGAATTCTCTTGTTTTTGAGCTGAAAACTCTGAACCAGTTTTCTGTAATGAAGATGAGTAATCCTTGCTGTAGTGGCACCCTGGTAGTGTTATCACCTTCCATCTTTCAGGAAAAGGGGTCAGAGTCCCCATTTCTTGGGCTGTCATCCATGCCTAGCTCCCAACTTGTCCCGGGAAGCCGCTGCAGATGCACCAGGGCAGAGCAACTCCAGGGTGCTGCTCCAGGAGCCAGGAAAGCTGTGCCAGGGTAGGCAGCAGGTTTGGGGTACCAGAGAATAGAACTTAGAGCTGCAGCTCTCAAAGCCCATCCCCACCTCCAGAACAATCCTGCTGTTAAAATCCTTCCCTGTGTTTTTGCTTGCCTGGAGGAGATGAGCAGAATAATAAAGTTTGGATACTGTTAAATACTATTAGAGTAAGGTGTTTTGTGCATTGTGCCTTCTAGCCTGTCTTTCTAGTGGTCCAACACTTAGAATCTTTTCTTTGAAGGGATGTTGAGAGTCCTCCTTTCCCTGAGCAGGAAGGCCTGAGCATTGATTTGTGCCTAGCCAGGATGCACAAGGCCAGGAAAATGTTACACCTCATCCTCATCCTACAAGAGCCCATCACCTCACCATCCAGGAAAATAAACTGAATTAATTTTTCCTGAACACAAGGAGCTGGGGGGGGGTTATAAATTTATAAATATATGTGTATTTATATGTATTTCTGTGTATATTGGTAGAATCATAGACTGGTTTGGGTTAGAAGGCTGGGTGGGTTAGGCAGAGGGCTGTGTCCCCCACTGCCTGGCTTGTCCATTTGGGAGGGCTTTTTGGGAAATGTGAGAGCCAGTGGTAAATAGCAGTTGGGTCTCCCCAGGGAACCCCGAGCCAGCAAGGTACTGAAGGGGTCTGGAGCGGTCTAGACCTGTTGGGGATGGCGGAGACCAGTGGTAGGGTTGGGGGTCCCACCCCATCCCAGGTGCTGCCCAGTCTCCCACTAAGGTATGTGACCCCACTCCTGGATGCTGCCAAAGGGGTGGACCCCTGACCTGCCCACCCACACCCAGGAACCCCCCTCTAGGGATCCCCAGGGACCCTGCTGGCTCAGGGGCAGCCCTTCCATCCCCCTCCCAGTGCCCATGGGGTGGGGATCAACACTTGGGGTGGCCTCTGGGCATTAAGGGGGGGCCTTTGACTTCAACCTTCACAGAAGGGGTGAGAGCTGAGGACTTGCACCAAAGACAGGCACCTGGTTTATGTAGGTATTTATTTATTTAGATAGGAAAAGCACCTTATTCCCATTCCTCATTAGCCCCCTGGGGCATTGCCACGGTCACCACCAGTGCCACCAGCTCCCAGCGCCAACTTTCATCCACTGCTGCCCGTCATCCAGGCAAAACCCACCCTGTGCAGGCCTTGTCCTTGGGCTGGGGACGGAGGGAAAAGATGCCTTTCCAAGTGTGCTGAACAAAAAAAAAAAAAGGACAAAAAGAGGAAGCCGTGGAGGTTTCTCTGCGCCCAGACCTGCCGGCCTCGCGGTTACACGTCGATGCTGCACCGGCACTGCGGGAACAGTAGGATTTCAACTCCCCACACCCCCTTTCCTTGTGCTTTTTTTTTTCCCTTTAAAAATTCTTCTCTCTTGGCACACAATGCTGGGGGTTGCCAGGGAGGAAGCAGTTGGGAAAGGCGGAGCAGAGCAGTGCTGATGCCTGGGGTGAGTGGTGCACCCCGGTATCCCAGGAGGACTCCCAGTTGCCTGGGCAGTCCATGACAGCCTCACTGGCCCCCAGAATCCCATTTTGCCCAACAACCCTGTCTTAAATGATGCATTCACTGGGAAACCGCCGGGGGTGTGGCACAGAGGGTACTGGTGAAGAGGAGCAGTGGCGATGCTGTCTCTGCTTCCAGAGCTTGGTACCCTCCGCGATGCTCCTCTGCCAGGGTCTTCCCAAAAAACCAGGCACGTTCCAGGGGAGATCCCCCCGTCCCTCCCCTGGGCTGGCCGCAGGGCGTTCCCTACACGATGCCCTCGCTGCGTTTGCTCCTCCACACCACCAGCGCGGTCATGAGCAGGGTGACGAGCACGGGCAGCAGGATGAAGGGGCACAGGACGGCGTTGGGGGGGTCGTGCAGCGCCCGCCCGGACGGGGAGCAGTTCCTGAAGTACTGTCTGTGCACGGCCACGAAGAACTCGTCCACCTGCCGGTTGGGCCAGTAGCAGTCGAGCCTCTCGGCGATCAGCACCGTGCAGTTGGTCAGCTCCCCGTACGTGCTGCAACACAGGCAAGGGCACCGGCTGGCACCGGGGGGGCACCGGGGACCGGCACCCGGACACAGGCACACCACCTCCCCCACACAGCAAAAAATATTGTATGCATCATGTATAATATTATATAACATTAAATATGTCATTTACAGATAATATATAGTACATAATATATATTATCTATTATCCATTATATAATGTTTATATTATTATATAATAATAATCTTATCAATATTCAATAATATATTACTGTGTTATAGTATAACATACATAATGTATATGTTCATATTATCATCGTTATATTTTGTGTTATATTTTATTTATATTATATATTATATAACATATATGCTATTATACATTATATATTATATGCTATATATATGTTATATAATAATGTATGATTATAATAATTACATATATAGACAATATATTTCATTATTTACATTACATATAATGTATAATATAAAATTATGCAATACATAATATACACTATAAATTTGAACATAAAATATGTAATAAAAAGTATATACTATTTAATTTATAATACGTAACATATAAAAGCCATATAATATATAATATATATTATATATAAAATATATCCTTGTGCAACATATTATACACTTTCTATGACAAAAGGTGTGATATTTGAGATTGTATTTGAGTTATTACTTATTAAATTTTTTAGCTATTTTTTTTGAGGTTGTAGCTAGATAGATATATCCGGCCCTATAAAAATATGTAGGGTTTTTTTTTTTTAATTTATATAACCTGTATAAAACTATATGGGGGGGTTTTATTTTTTTTTAACTAGAGTGGTATAAAGATATATGGGGTTTTTTTTACATTCCAGTCAGATTTTGCTACTTTGGTGGCACTTCTGAGTGCTCACCCACAGCCAAAAGCAGAAGTGGTTTTCATTTACAGAAAGACATGAAAACAGAAATAATATCTACAGAAATAACAGGTTTGGGGCGGTTTTGTTTGGTTTGTGGTAATTTTTATGGGATTTCATGGCTGAACCAGTGCTATTAGAAAATACAGGATGGACCCAGATTTTAAGCAAAGACCTTCAGGAAACCCATGCCAGCTTGTCTGGCTGCTGGCCTTTGGAGCACCATCCTCCAGCTTGTGCGGATTCAACCAAAGGGGGACAGAAGTAATTACATCAAAGCTACTTAAAATTCTCCTTCTAATTGCCTAAAAATTAGGAGATTGCATAGGAACCAGCTGCCTGCTTTGAAGCTGTGCAGGACCACAACCCATCCCACCTCTATGGCCAGCAAGTCCATTTTTCCTTCTTTTTTTCCTTTTAAACATTTAGAAAACCAGGAGCAGCCTTGAACCAGAGGCACTGTCCCTGTGCTGGGCCATCCAGCCATCCTCTGGAAGGACAGGTATTACAGTGCCTTTCAAACCCTCCCTGCTTTAAAACTGGCTATGCATAAAAATTCTTAATTTTTTCCCCCATCCCAATTAGTCACATCTAATCCGAGAGAAGCAAAGCAAACCAAACCCCAGCTCGCCAATTAAAAACCCGCCTGGGGGAAGAAATATTTTATAAGCAGCTTCCCAGCCAGTCTCCACAGCTGCTGTGCAGCTCCTCAGCCCGGTTTCGGGGCAGGCTGTGCCAACGGGCACACGGCAACACCACTGGGAGCCCCTGCCGAGCCCGGTGATTTAATTAAGGGGTGCCTGCAGCTGCTAAAAGCAGATTCTGCTCAGCATCCCAATGTGCAAAATTACCATTTCCTGTTCATCAGCATCCTTAGGAGATCTCGGGAGCCGAAGCATCTTCAGGAACCAGAGGGACAGTGTTAACAGAGAGGCGAATAAAAGCTATTTTTAAAGCTGAAGGGCCATACAGCAGCTGGCTCTGACCGACCGTGCTTCCGTGGAGATAAATAGCTGCTCCCATCATTAGACGTGAAGACATTCAAGGAACCAAAGCCAAATGGTGCCAGCAATGAAAGGACAAATTGTAATTGCCCTTTGCACGGAGGCAGCAGCCGAATTGCAGCGCTCAGCCGGCTCCGTACGCGAGGATGGAGCTGAGGAGAAGAGCTGAGCAGCTCCAGCTCCATGAGCAGCACTGGGAGGGGGCTGTGGGGCTACAAGTGCCTGTCCTGGAGTGGAAGGAAGTCCCCCATCCCGATGGGGTGCCTTACGGTACCCTATGTCTTTTGTCCCTTTCATTTCTGCTTAGTTAAAGCCCCCCTGCTCTGGATGGGATGGCATCCCCAGCACCGTAGAGGGATCCCAAAGGGATCCATTCGCTGGGATCGGATAAACCAGACCAGCTGGATCCAGGCTGCTTGCAATGCCTTGTCAGACAGGATCAAGATCCCACTGGAGAGCAGCAGTGTTGATGCCCAGGGCTGAGTGCACTCTTCCCTGCCACGGCCATGGCAAACATTTATCCCATTGCATCTCCAAATCGGCATCTGGTTCTCTCTCCCCATGAGCAGAGCCACATTATTGTATTAGCACCATGCCAGCATCATCCCACCGGGAATTCATCCCAGGCTGACGGTGAAATATCTTGTTTTCCTGCCCAGCTCTGCCCTCCCTCCCCTTGCCACAATCCAGCCGAGGAGAGTGAGGTCCCCTGCCATACCAGGCAAAGCTGAGCTGAGCTCCAGGAGCTGCAAGGATGATCATGGTATTCCTGGTGTCCAGAGAGAGTTGTAACCCTCAGTCACAGAGTTAAAATTCTGGAGAGAAAGTTGTAGCAGGATTCTCTGCCTAAGTGGGGGTAAAGCAGCTTGAACTGTACCCTATTTGCAAAAGTTACCAGGGATGGATGGAGAAGGGCGAGGGTGAGGGCGGTTCAGGATTTACCCACGGCCATTGCTATGGGTGAGTAACATCAATCTCTACTTAATAATTATTTTGCTTGCTTTAATAGCATTGCTTCAATATTGCTTCAGTAAATAGGGCACCGTATTCATAGTTATAATTATCTGTACTGTGTAGTAAATAATTCTGAGTAAGGTCTTTTAGTCTAATAGTTACCATCATTAATAAAATAACTCATTTATTCATAAAATATACTTGGTTTGCCAAGACAAAGTCACACATTCAATTCCACATATATAATCCTTTAAACATAAACTGCTGCCAAAGTCTGGGGCTAAGACTGGATGCAGCCACACCCTGACTCCTTTTCATTCCATTAGCCAAACTTCTGACACCATCCAAATACAGAGTTCAAAAAGTGAACCCAAAAAGTGAATAAAATGTCAGGTTTGATATATTTAAAAAGAAAAGCTGCATTTCTTTTTAAGCCAGTTGACAGTAAACGCCCACAATATAAACCCAGCAGCACAGCTAAATGCATGAACCGATACAGTAACGTGGCTGCTTCACACCCATCTGGGATGGACACCAGTGCCCCATGCTCGGTACTGCACTGCACTTACTCCTTGTGTGCGTGCAGAGGTACAAGGGTTTGGGAAGAAATTCATTGTATCAGGATCCTCTGTGTTTGTTATAGTAAATAAAACACTGTTCTGGTGTTCACACAGGTTCACACGGGCTCTTGGGGGGTTCACACCTTGCGGTGCCTCTGTCGGGGCGTCCCGGGGCCGCTTTAGGGGGGTGGGGGCAAACCCGGACTGGATTCCCACTGGAAAACGGAATGGGGGAAAATACGGGTGGGATTTTTCCCGGAGTACGGAATGGACTTAAAAAAAAAAAAAAAAGAAGGGATGGACTTGATGATCTCAGAGGCCCTTTCCAACCCGGCTGATTCTGTCGGGGCGTCCCGGGGCCGCTTTAGGGGGGTGGGGGCAAACCCGGACTGGATTTCCACTGGAAAACGGAATGGGGGAAAATACGGGTGGGATTTTTCCGGAGTACGGAATGGACTTAAACAAAAAAAAAAAAGAAG